GCCCTCTGACCATATCTTAGCGACTGCTGTTTGCTTCATCCGAGACTAACTGCAATTGGCTCCACACACGTGCTACTCTTGCGCGGTTGCCTACTTAACGCACTCACTTCTCACCACGAGCTTGTCGAGACATCGAACCCCAACGCCAATTCAGAACATCGCGTCTCCGTTCATACACACTTCATCAACTCGACACAGCCTGCCTACGAATCAATAGCAACTATGTCCTCCTTAGTCACCTACCTCGTATGGCTCTTCGTCGGCCTCGGCTTCGTTCTTGCCGCACCCGCTGAGCAGTTTGCAGACCACCCCACTGCCGTGAGTGCGCGATGATGTTGAACTTCAAGCATCGTACTGACTAAGTTCAAGGGCCAGGGTCCGTATCCCTACTCCCTCCAGATCCAGGTCGAGGAGGTAGATACCAAGTACTACGTGTGGGACATCTTCCAGGGACCTAGCGGCGTAGCCGTGAACCCCTGTGGAGACACTCGCTTCGAGAAGGTCTATCATGGCGAGCCCGGATGGCATACCAACAAGCCAGACATGGACAGCCCTCCTTACCCTCAGAACTACTTGCCGTTCGTTCCCGAGGTGAGTTGGCTGCTATCATTAGACGCGCACCGTACATGCACTGACTCATTTCTAGTTCGAGGTCCCGATCGAGTACGGCAACCGCGGCGACTGTGCCTACCACGCTACTGGTAAAGACGCGGGCCAGTTCCGTTGCGGCGACTACTACATAATCGACTGCGCCAAGGACCCTCGATATGGACAACAAGTTTCCTGCGGTAACCCGCGTCCACGCTACGCTGTGGCCTGGTACTGCGAGTTCTAGAGGTTGGATAAAGAATTTGATGAAGAGCGACCGTGAGGGTGGGCAAGGCGCAGCTTGAGATGTGACTACAAGTCCCCTGCCTCCTATAGATATGGGAATACTGAGCCATTTTACGTAGAACCAATGAATGTATGAAGAACGCTCTCACTATCGCTCTCAGTCTCACTCTAATTACCCTGTATGGCAAAGCGCGAAGAGCTGTCGCCTAACTTGGTCGTTCGCACGTCCCCTTCCGCCCGCCTTTTCGCCTGCCTTTTCGCCTGCCTTAATTTTGCCCACTAGAGCCGTCAGGTGCTCGCTTCTTAGCCAAGAAATCATAGAATATATATGTAGCTCACAATGGCTCTCGCTCAGCCTCTATCCCTAACACAAAGCTTATCCTGAAGGCCTGGACGAAACGCACAATAACATCTCCCTCAACATGCTCGCGTGGCTCACCCTCCTCATGAGCCTATCCATCAGTCTACTATTTGGCGCGACCACTGCAACATCTGCCCAGTTCTTGAGCCCCGAGGCGCGGGCTAATCGCACCGCACATGGTCTGGTACGTATGCATTATGTTCTGGGACGCGGTGCTCTACTGACCTTATGTTAGCAAGCTGATGTGTTCACCAATTCGGTTCAGATCATCCTTGAGCGTTACTCGATTGTGGACTTCTACTGGTCGTTGTATCTAGGTCCTTATGGTGTGAAGATGAATGCCTGCAAGACAGGAGACTTCAAGCTCGGCTCGCAGCTAGGTGAATTGGACTACGATCACGATGACATCAAGAACCCCCCAAACCCGCCGGCGGTAAGTAAATCTATCGATTGTAGCTTGGAAGTGCATATGAAACTGACCACAGCGTAGGTGGAGCTACATGTTCCCGAATGGATGGGCCGCAAGGACTGCCATTGGAAGACCAACGGCCACGGTGATGTCGGTCAATTCGTATGTGGCGACTGGCTGATCTACGACTGCGAGCGAGATGCGAGTTGGAACGATGGAGTGATCTCCTGTACCAGCCAAGGTTGGTCGTACCATCGGGGATACGCCTGCAACTTCTAGGCTGGGGTTCTTCGTGCGCTGCATAACTTGGCAAAAGAGTCTTTCGTCGCTTGAGTAATGTGCTGGACGGTCTTGGGATTGGGATCTTTCTGTCTGCAACAGGGCGGAACATTTGATTTCCTCTTAGAAGCCGGACAGCTGATTACCATCTTAGACACTTGGTGAATCGAATTGCGTATCCCTTCCAGATACACATGCTTATATTCTACTTGTTTCATGGTGCGCTAGTGGGCGAAAGAAAGCGCTTTACTATTTGTTTGCTTGTATTTACTCGGTGTGTGTTGTTCGTCTCTCGAGGGTGTCACTGCCTGCGTGTCACCCAATCGGTTCACTTTCGCTTACAGTATATAAACCCGTCCTGCTGCTCGAGCCAGCCTTCCTCTCCCGAACGGCTCTCAAAATCAAGAAGCAAGTAGCACGTTCACTACTACGCGGTTAAACATGCGGACGGTCACCTCATTACTTGTCGGCCTTGCCGCTGTTCCCATTTGCACGACTTTCGCTACACCCGTCAATTGTGCCGGCGTACGGAGGTCAGAAAATGGTAATGATTGGCGCCCCTCGGTCGGTTTTCTGAATACCAAGATAGACTTCACCGCTAAATCCGAGGTAGGACTACTACGACTCCTCGGTCCAGATCCTTTCTCCTCCGATCATCCGGTACAGAATACTATTGGCAAATGTACCAAGGCCCAGCCCTAGTATCCGTGGATCCTTGCGGCTACCCAGACCCCTTCAAGGTCGCGGACTTCAAAGGCGTGTACCATTACGGACGAGACGCGATTGACAACCCTCCGCAAGCTCCTGCCGTAAGCCATGACATCTCTTGCGCAGGCTTATGCCAGATCACAGAGATACGCTGTAGCTGACAGCACATTCTCAGATGGATCTCAAGTTATTGAAGTGGATGGACCATGACGATTGCGTGTGGAGAACACAGGGTAACGGAGACGTTGGGCATGTAGTTTGTGGTGATTGGTTGGATATGCCCTGCGAGGTGGATGGTTCATACAACCAAGGCGTGTTGAACTGCCATGGGAGGTCTTTCCATCGTATGTACGCTTGTAGGTACTGAGCGCGGGTGAACGAGGTGCTGGTTGCAAGCGGGTCAACTTCGGGGTCGCGTCAGGGAAATTCGGGGGCTGGTAGGCGCTCCTGGTCGAGACCCCTCATTCCACAGCTTTGGGTACCCGCAGTATGCACATTGCGATGGCGTGTTTCGCATGATCAGATATCCTGTTCATTGACATTTTCATGCGCACCTGACTATCGCTTGCCAACCTTTGGATATTTCGAGGACAAGCCTTCGGCCTCGCGGTTGGGGGAAGAAGAGAGGCGAGCTGGAGCGTGCACGATCATCGATGACGACATTCACTAAGCCCGAAATGGTTAGTATTTATAGCCATCTTCACCATGTGAGTTCAGTTTCGATACAGATTAGCTGTGCCATCGGCGCATTTCAATTCCAGCGCATTGAAGAGATCCGTGGCTTTGGCTATCCTCGCCTCAGTGATTGGCATCTTCAGTCTCAATCTTCTCTTCTTCATCGACTTCTCCAACCAGTGTGTATCCTTGAGGTTCCTTCACAGCCGCAACGAATATCACGCTCCCGACGATCAATGCCGCACCAGCGAACTTCCACCATCCCGGCTCCAGTCTCCATACAATCTTATCCGCTAACATAGCGAACACCACCTGCAGGTTTACTATGTGAAGCGCTTTCTTTGAATCGCCGGTCATCAAGCTCGCTGCCATGAGCCAATGCATAGCAAACCCCAATATGCCCAGCACGCATACGAACAGCCATCCTACGGCGGTAGATGGGAAAGTCAAGCCTTGTTGCTGTATGATGAGCGATGCGCCGCTGAGTAGCGTACATATGGGCGCAAAGTATGCAACCGTTGTCATCGGGTGTACGTGCTCTCCTAGACACGACATCGTTAAGAAGGAGACTGCGCCACCGAGGACACCGATAAGAGCCGCACCAATGGCCAGCGCGTGTTCTCTAGACGTATTTGTTACATGAGCGCTCCAAGGCTGCAATACGCATAGTAAGCCGATGACCGCAACTAGAGCTGCGAGGACTTGAGCGACAGAGCAGCGCTGCTGACCGGGTAATAAGCCGAGGAGAAGTGCAGCGAGAACAGGCGCGAGGAAGTTGATCAGAGTCGCCTCAGCTAATGCGAGATAACGCAGAGAGACGTAGAAGCCCCAGATACCGAAGAAACCCGCAACGCCTCTTACGACGAGTAGAGGGCGCAGCTTGGGAGGACCAAATGCGCCACCAGGGATGGCTCCCGGGGAAAGTAATATGTACGTCCACGACAGAATGGTGATTATCGACATCATTCCAATGAGCATCTGGAGAACATCAGTATTTTTGTAGGTGGGCGGGTAGCATATTTCCATACCTCGGAAGTACCGACTGTGGTGGTGCCTGAGCCGCCGCTACGCTGCGTTCCCAGGATGCGCCCCAATGTCGCCAGGATAGTGGAGCATACTTGCGCCAAGAGCATAAGAATGATACCGGCATTATTATGAACGATGTCATAGATTGTATTTGTCAATGATGTAGCTGAAATCATGGTGTTGTGATGAGGAAGGTGTACGGAAAGCTCTCCGATGGAAGACGAGCTCGGGATGCAGGAATGTGAGACTTTACGTGTATTTGAAGTGTTTCACGCCTCCTTTCAGCACAACCTTCCCAACTGCGCAGCGGAACAATCCCTGTATTCTTTACCCTTGGTCGCGTTATTTGAAGAAGGAAATATGTGCCTTGAAACTCAATAATGCGGCTTTGCTGCGTTCTGCCGCACGTGCATCAACAAATTGCGGTTTGCGCAAAGGCTGCATCATGATGTTTTTGTCAACAGACTCAACAGGAGGCCATTCCATCTGCCTCGCACGCGGTTGATGATGAAGTTGAGCTTGTCCTTTACTACCTCGTTAGCAAAGACGAGTGTCCGAAATGTATATCCAGCCCACTGCCGGTAACTGGACCCCAGCCATCTTTGCGGCATCGAGCAGGATTCCTACATGCGCCAGAAGGTTATCGCTAAATATGTGCGACAATCACTATGGCTGTGAATCTTCGCCGGTGACCCCTCATACCTTCTCTTATCCTTGGCCTCGAACCCGTCCTTGTGCAGAGTGCGTACTATCTTCCCATGCCTCCTTCGTGATGCGCCAGATCCACTCATTCCCAAACAACTTATCTTCTATTGCGTCAGCCGGAAATCCGAGCTTCTTGTTCATCAATCCCTTGAACGCAGTATTAGCATCTACACAAGCTATGTGTATCTCATCCATGCCCAGGACAGCAAAGCCATGATCAATGGCCATACACAACGACTCATAGCCGTAGCCTGAGCCACGATAACATGTGTCCAACATCAAGCCTGCGTCACCAATCAGCTTGCCATCAGTCTTTCTTCTGCCAATCCAGCCCAAGCCGCCGGTACCGACAGTCTTCCCATCTATCTCGATAACGATGTTGGCACGCTGCAGTGGTAAATCGACGACCTGCCATTGCCTTATCAAATGCTCAATGGCGTCACTACTGTCAAGACCGGCACACGACTTGTCGTGCTGGACATTGCGATAGTCGGTGAAGAGTCGTAGGAGTGCAGAAGCGTCGTTCGTGTTAGGAAGGCGGAGATGCAGTTGGGGAAACGTAAGCGATGTGATACGTAAGTCGCTTTCACCTTCGGACGATAGATTCGTCGAATGTGTGTAGAAGACGGTACTACCGGTAGCGACAAGCGCAGGGTATTCAGTGCCTGCAGGCATGGTCTCGGGGTTTCGACGGGCTAGGTAACACTCAGAGAATCGGAGGTTTGCGCAATTGACTAGTGGTGTATGCAGATGGGTGCGCATACATCAGCTTCTTCGTCGATGCAACGTACGTTGGGCGTGATTGTGCCCGCCTCCGATGACGTGACGGCGTTCACCCGCGTTGACGTTAGGTATGATGGCAGCCAACAGATCAAGGCCTTGTTTGTTTCTGCTGAGTAGACTGACTACTCTGCGATCACAATACTTGCCGTAGTCGGTGAAGCTCGGTGAGGCTCCGACGAGGGTGTTCCTGTGGGTGATGGTGTGAGGCACATTTGCGGCATGGGGCTTGGTGCCTCTACGCTATCCTGGAAATGGAAAATTGCACGTGGCCCCAGCTCAAACGTGAAAACAAAGGAGATGACGGCACCTGCATGCTTCAACACCACCTTCCTCCTTGTGCATATGCCGGAGTGGAGTATATGCAAACATCATCTCCAAGTTTCCAGAGCCCGATAGGGCTTGCTCTTCCACCAAAAATATGCTGTGGGCAGCTGGCAAAGGGTTTTAGGTCAGCTCAATTCTAGCTTTCACCATCGTGCTGAAGCCTGGACATATCAGAGCTCACGACAACTTCAACGACGTACAACGTCTTGCATTACAATATCTCTTCTCTGACCTTTGTACCAGGTTGTCCACATTGGGCTGACATAGTAACGGCTATTGCGCGCATGCTGGACGAACGGAGAGTGGCGGTGTCAGAGCATCGCTAGGTACCAGATTATCGCGTCGCCATCCCCAACATACTACGTATATGTACACCCATTCGTTTGATGCCTGTCGCACGGATCCCGGGGTACCAGAAGCCGTGTGATCATCGCCAAAATTTGTCTCGCATTCGCATTAGACTAGAGATAAACTACTGCGCGACTATGCGTGGAACTCATTTCCTCTACACAACCGCTGTGGCAGTATACTGTGATTCGAAGCAACGTGGATGGTGAGATGGGTCACAGTCTTGCTACTATAGAAGGATTGGCTCTCGCCGCAAGGGTGTCGGCTCAGATGCACTAAACGCGCAACGCAGATCTTCCAGTCGCCACTTGCAAGATAAGATACACTTTCAAAGAGATCTGTCAATGGAAATTGTTGAGGCTAAACCTGTAAAACCGCCTACAGACTTGCATTGCGTCGCTTATCTGAGTATGTGCTTCGTCTCTAAGCATGTCTTTAGCTGACAGCGTACAAATCCTTTGACGATGACGATGACGATGTTGAGGCCCTTCTTGTGGCTTGCAAGGGGCTTCTGATTCAAAGAAGCATCGGAAAAAGTAAGACATAGTCTACAGACACGGCATCCACTTGGCTAACAGCCATGATCGCTTGAGGTGATGATGGTCGCGGTGCAGCTGCAGGAAGCAGACATGTTCCAGCATATCCTACACCGCCGTATATAAGACTCAACCTCTGCGTCTATTCTAGCTAAAGAATTCTTCAGCATCGACCGTCTGATCGAGAGTACATAAAATCGTTTTCCACTGCATCCCGCAAGAAGTCATTGCCTTCAATCCCAGCTTCTGATTACTTGTGGAAAGACTCAACCAGAGTTTAGCCAACAAGGTGGCCGCATCACTATGGCCGTCACAAAATCACAACAACAGAGTACGCTCATTCTTGATATCGGCGATGTGCTGTGTCACTGGTCTATCGAAAATCTCACTGCCATCTCTCCTCAAAGTCTCCACGCCATCACCCGATCGCCAACTTGGAGCGAACTGGAACGCGGCTGTATTAGCGAGACAGAAGCCATCCTAGCTATCAGCAAGGAGCTCTCTCTCGATCCTGACGCCATCGATACCGGGCTCATGGAATGCCGCAAGACATTGCGCGTCGACCAAGAGCTCACATTCCAACTCAAAGAGCTCAAAGCTGAGCTAGGTGGCCATCTCAAGGTTTATGCCATGAGCAACATTGCCAAGGAACATTTCGCCTTTGTCAAGACCGTACTATCCGACTGGGATCTGTTCGACGGCGAGTTTTTGTCCTTTGAGGTTGGCATGACGAAACCTGATCTACAATTTCACCAGAATGTTCTGGATAGCCTCAACTTGAGCGACCCTTCTTCCGCGATCTTTGTGGACGACAAAGTCGCCAACGTCAATGCCGCCCGCTCCTTCGGGATTCATGGCATCGTCTTCGACTCCTCGACCGCTCTTATTCGTCAGTTGCGTAACCTTTTGATGGATCCTGTTGCCAGGGCACGCCGCTTCATGACCGTGAATGCGCACAAGCACACATCGTGCATTCAGGATGTCGCCCCCGTGATTTTTGATCACTTCGCCCAATTCCTCATACAAATTGAGTTGAATGATGATAGCGTCATCAGTCTCTCACCACCCGGCGCTTCCAACGCTGATGTCAAATCGGACATCCGACAGGCCCGTAGCCAAGGCAAAGCATGGAACTTCTTCAATGGCCCACCAGTCGGCACAACGAAAACGTGTAAGTAGAATCGATGAATAGTTGTGGTATATGTGCTGACTCCGTACGCCTGAACCTAGACCCTGATGATGTCGACGATACAGCTCTCGCCTTTATTGCGTTCTCTCCACCTGCAGCATCTGCCAATCCGATCTTGGACCGCATCGTCGCGAACAGGCACGACAAAGACGGTCTTATCATGATCTATCTTGGTGGCACGAGACCCCGTGTATGCCCGTTCATTATGCTCAACGCCGTCCGTGCCCTCTATAGATACGGACGCGGCGCAGAAGTACAGCCCGAGCTCGAACACATTCGTCGCGTCCTTCTGAAAGGCGGCCATATCGATGGATCGGAACACTATCTTGCCAGCGAGACCTTTCTGTACTTTCTGGCGTGTCTCATCGAAGATAATCCCACTGCACCAGAGGTCCAGTCGCTACGTAAGCCAACGGTTGAGGCCTTACGTCAACGCGTCAATCGCCCCGGGGATTCTTTCGTCCTCGCCTCACGTGTCTTAGCATGCCAGAAGCTCGATGTGGAAACCCAATCTGACCTGGCATCTTTGAAAGAGTTGCAGGAATGTGACGGAGGCTGGGAACTGGCGTGGATATCTCGTTTCGGTAGGAGTAAGAAGATGATTGGGAACAGAGGAATACCTACGGCTTGGGCTATCAAGGCACTGGAGTACGAAGCCCAGCCATAGTTACACGAGAATGCTCTGCCGGCAAAAGGTCGACATTATAGAATAACACTTTGTGTTAAAATTATCTTATCACGGTTAACGGTCTACTACTGAACTCAGCTGATCCATCAACTCAAAAGAGTCGATACAATGTCCCATACACGGCGACGGCGGTACATCACTGTATACCGACAAAGATGTGCACCCACTGATGAATACCTACACTGCCGATTGACACGGAGGTGAAAGATGTACCTATGAAGGTTGTTCGCTCTTCCATCACGCTCTTACTATCGCACTCTCACTATCAGTGACCAGCAGACAGATACAATCACAATTTTCGACATTCTAATCGCACCCTCAGCACCATCATACACCTCTCGGCCTTTGCAGTCGCACGAAATTAACAATGTCTACAGGATCTACTGGCGAGCGATTCAAGTACCCTGATGACGAATGTCTAACAGCGTACACCAAGGCTTTGAAAAAAGGTAGACTGCTGCATACACAGGCTCATTCTGACCAACCCAGCATTCCCCGGAGCGAGTTCCAATCCGTCTCCGACATTGAAGAGTGGGGCTATGTTCTGGATGTTAAAACCGACACCCGGATAGGGATTATGTGTTCGGCGCAACATGTGCTCGAAACTACCAGGAACGGCGAGACCTACCTGGCCACCGACGCCTGGTTCCTCAATAATATATATCTTGATGATGGCATGATCGAATCGGCGGCTAACTACGCGCCTCACGCGTTAGCATCGGGCTTGGTGAAATCCGTAGACCAGCCGGCGCGCGCAACAGTATCTACGCTGTTGCCCAAACTATGCCACTGGAGCGACATGGCATACCTCATTTGGCTGCATGTTACAAGCAAAGAGTCGCCAAAGCCTGTGTTACGCACCGTCTCTCACTACGGGGACAGTGTTGCGTCTGAAATGGTAGTACAGCATGTAACAGCTGGAGTACAGCCGCGCAAATCTGGGCCTTATCTCGAATACGAGTTTGATGCAGACTCAGACGAAGGCTTAGCGATACTTGGGACGCCTGAAGCAGCTGGTACCGCCTACCTACTGGTACAACATAGGGAGGGGTTGGGTCGTCGGGTTGTCGACAAGATTGTTGCTTCTGATTTCGCGGATCCAGAATCTAGGCACTTGCAAATTCTGTTTCACATCAAAGAGGCGGAGAAGGTAGATGGACACGGCATTTAGTTGAACGTAGTCGGTGTCTGGACGCATCATGTAGTTGATCGTATTCAGTTGCTAATTGATATTCGATAATTCGAATGTCGTCGCACATTGTTCGGCTCGGACAGTGCATTGACCTTCCACACTCTCCCCCTTGCATCTGACAACACGATCTAGTCATCTTGGCTTATCCTCTCTGCCATCACAGCCTGGTTCTTCTCGTTGGCATGTGCAAACTCCCTGTATCTCTGCTCCTCATCTGACTTGCTCGCCCTTACAACTCTTCGGTTCTCTTTGTTGAGCCCCATGCAGAGCCTTGGGTTCTCGTAGAACATAATGTCGATTTGCTCAAGCGTGCGTCCGGAAGTCTCGACGCCAAAGAAGTAAGTCAGCGGTACAAAGGACGCGCAGACAGCTGCCCAGACCCAGAAGTAATGGCCGCGGATGTTGTCAAGACCGATTGGGGTAACCATGACGACAACGAAGTTGGACATCCAGTGTGAGAAGACGCCAACCGCGGTTGCCTTGTTGCGGACACGGAGAGGTTGGATTTCGGCTGAGTAAGACCACGATACGGGCAATATACCGAGAGTGAAGCAGTCGAGATACAAGAAGATGAATGCTACAGCTGCTGCGGCACTGGCATAGCTGTTCTTAGCCAGACATCCGGCGATAATAGCCATGCATGCTGCGCAACCGGCTGAAGAACCCATGACTGACCACCGCCGCCCGATCTTGTCGATGTAGAAGTATGGTGGCCAAGAAAATACGGCATACTGAGTGAAGGCCACAGAAGCGAGGATGAGAGACATGCTCGGGGAGTAGTCGAGGTACTGCTGGAAGATGTAGGCGAGGTAATAGCACAGAGCGTTGATACCGCTCCACTGGTTCATCATGTATGGACCCATCCCAAGCACAACACGGTGTAGATTACGGGTCTTGGTGGCGTTGCTGAAGACTTCGCCCCAAGTGGGTTCTTCTTCGCTGCTCTCCGCCGCGATGGCGTCGAGAATCTCCTGGAGTTGACCTTGCACTTCTTCGTCATCCAGAGGCTTGTCTAAAAGTCGACTGATGGTGTGTTTCGCCTCATCAATCTTTCCACGGGATGCGAGCCATCTCGGTGTTTCGCACAGGAATGGGCAGAGCGCCAAGACCATGAGCGAGAAGAGGATCTGGCACGCGACGGGAAACCTCCACTGCAGTGAGCTTTCGGCGTACAGTGTCGCAAAGCACAGCCAAGAAGCGACCGCGACACCGATGATGATCAGAGCGGACTGAACGACGAGCAGCGAACCACGGTTGTGCGCAGGCAATGTCTCCGACTGTAGAATTGGCACCGCGACCGTTGACAGTCCGACGCCAATACCACCAATGATGCGCGAGACAAACATCTGCCAGTAGTCGAAGCTAGCGGTCTGTATAGCAGCACCGATTACGACGATGAGGTTGGCGAGGATAATAGAGCGCTTGCGTCCGATGCGTTCACCGAAGACGAAAGCTACGACGGCACCGAGCGCGCATCCAATATCGTAGATAGCGGTAACTAGTCCCGTCATCGTTGGGTTCGGGTTGCCGAGGGTATCCTTGAAGCGCTGGCCGCCCAAGATACCGCCGAAAAGTCCTTGATCATCTTCAATCGTGTTAGCTATCGAACCACGATGTAGAGTGAGTTGCTTCAGGCTTACATCCGAAGAGAAGGAAGTCAAGACCAGAGGTCAATAGAATAACCGCGATGAGGCTCTTGCCTCTTAGTTCAAACATGATGAAGAAGACCCTGAACCCAATAGTCTGGTAAGCAGGAAGGGACAGCAGAACAGTATGATCGTGAGCCAAACATGTGGGCCGCAATCATGTATCCTTTATACTCGCAACCCCGTAGAGATGTGCACCGGCATCTCCTCATTCAGTTTAACGTCGATGCTTCTAATGAAGCGCGAGGTATCCATGTGGAATCTCTTAGCGGACCGTGTCCGGGGAAATTATGGATACGCGGGGAAGCAAATGCGGAGGTGAGGAATGTCAAAGCTTGCGCAAGAACAAGGCTTCGAACAGGTACACTCATGGCGTTGCATCTGGGCTGAAGTCATGCTAGCTGGGCCGGCTGGGCGAGAATGCGGGGTTCCGCTTTAGGAAATGCCGCGTCCTGAGTGCGGAAGGTTTGCCGCGATTGAAGCACCAGGTGATTTCGCGGGTTCCTGTCAGCCGTCAGGATGAACTTTAGGTGGCTCTGACTATGACTCGCACTGTCTCGTTGTTCTTCGGTGATGAAACATACCTAGGTAGCAGTACACAAGCTTGAACCTCCTAATCGGTCGTCAAACCAGAAGCTTCAAAAACGCTCAATTGTATACGCGATGCGTGTGGGGAACGCTGATGCCGGTAATCAGAATCTCGGATCGAGATACTGCGAAGACAAGGGTACACATCCCGTGTATGATGCCCGGGCATCTGGGAGTATCAATAAAACTCTTTACCTTCCTGGATGATGAAAACGCGTTCCCAGGTTTTGAATACGTTGAGTAGGATCAGTACACGCAAATGTAAGTCAGAAGGATGAATTTGGGGCAGTATTGTACGATGGAAGCATATCTCGGGTACGTGTACAATGCAAACATATCACCTTGATGTCGCGGCAAGGCCGTTTTTATGAGATTTATGAGTCTCTCAGCGAAAGGTAGTCTTACTGCCCTTGCTTCTTTTCATTTCCACCATCTCGTAGCCTCTCCACCTTTCCATGAGCCTTGCAATTCTCTCACTCCAGCTCACCTAGCATTTCTCTTGTCGCGCTCAAGCTCTTGGTATCTCCGTAGATCGCCGCGATCAGACTTCCATCGATTTTCGGGAATTCGCGTTGGAGCACTTCGACGTTATCGTCATGATCGTCTTTTCTTCCTGCTGCCTCGTAACTCTGCATGACCTCGATTTGGTGAGAGCGGTCCTGTCCGGTGGGAAGTGCCATCTCCGTAGCTGTGCGACGAGGTGGTAGACCTGGTGGGACTTCGTCTTGTCCAGGGTAGGAAGACTGATTTGGATAAGAAGGCTGAGGCTGTTGTTGCTGATGGTAGGGTTGCTCAGAGAGTCCATGGGGTTGGGACTGCATGAATGGGTTGTGCGATTGGGCTTGGCTTGGCTCTTGGCTCCATGGAGAGGTATCCTGGTGTTGAGGGGGGTATTGCGCATACGGCTCTTGAGGAGGATGTTGGCCTAGCGGATTTGGGGGTGGCTGTTGAGCATACGGATTCGGAGGCGGGTCTTGCGCTGGTTGGTAGGCTTGGTAGGGGTTGTGGCTCGGGTTGCTCTGGCCTTGTTGGTTTCCTTGGTCCGCCCACGGGTTGTCGTTGTGGTTGGAGGCCATGACTGCAATCTATGTACTGCTCGATGTTCGTGTGATAGGGATTTCGAGGGTTCGAAAAGGAGTGCAGCGCGCTTGTTTGGCAAGCAGGAAATCTTGAGGCTCAGGGCTGACTGTTGGCTGACGAGTACGTGAAGGCGCGGTAGACGATGACGTACGCTTAGCGCACGTGCCTCTTCGCCCCGCTTCAACCAACAGATCCTTGGAAGCCAGGCGCGTACTTGCTGCGAGGTCTAGAGGAACTTCGTACACTGGACCACGGGTCGTATGTCAAAACTCCGTTGTCAAGACAGTCGCCTCGACTTCCACCACCATTGTGCTCCGTAACCATGTTCAGGGTGACAAGTAATCAGCGCGATGTGTGCAAGGAGCCTCGCCGGAAGCGGACACCCCTTGCATAACGCGGGCTGCTCCTTCAAGGTGCTTCTAAAGTACTATATATGAGCAAGCCAGGTAGGATGCGTAATTGTATCTTCATATTCACTGTATGAGAACACGTCCTCTCCATCGTTGCAGTCATGGCAGCGCTGAGCTTTCAGCCCTTTGTCCTCCGTTTGTTCAACGCGCCACTAGGTGTTGACTTCCTACGCAACTTGAGTGCCAAGATCTCACCTTTCTTCGACTGCGAGCGCGATCGATTGTTTGCGTATATCAGTGATTGTAAGAGGAGAACTTTGCGGCGAGAGATGAGAGAAAAGAGGCTGGAGGCCAAGAGGCATGGTAGGCGATGTCGCGCATCTTGCTCGCCGTGTTGAACAGGCTAACAACATATTAGAGAAGCAGCAACAACGCGCCGAAGAAAAGGAAAAACAGCAGAAAAACAATTCATGGAAAGAAAGGAACCGCGAAGCACAAATGAAACTCAAAGCCAAGATCTTGCAGAAGAAGAAAAGTAAGTCCATGTCTAGCGGATAACCATCGCTCGTGACGTTCATACATCAGCAAGATCATATCGTTGACGCTCGGCAGGCGGTAGTAATACCAAAACTCGTTAAGGTCTCAACTTTCATGTCAGATGGCGTTATTGATCGTAACATTAACCCGAACACAATGGATGTACAGACTGCGCTCAAAGTTCCAAAGACTCCAAGGTTATTCCAAAGCTATGCCAGCCGCTCTAACATCTAGCCAATGTATTGCTCCAAGAATTGGAAGAAGTAATGATGAAAATACAGTGTTGGCTCGCATGCACAGGTAGAGTTAGAGGGTCTGTCTCTGCATTACATCGTTCTGCGTCGCTCAAGTTCAATGCCATTGATCCTCTCCACGTCTAATTAGTACCGTCAGCGAAAATTGTTGAAATACATGATGGAATAACGAACCCAGACTCCTGCTTCTACTTCCACATCCGTTCTTTATCAGATGCCATAACAGTAGACCGATCGGTATGCACGTTGCGAATAATGTGGCCAACGCGATGATGGCTTCAGCAGACAAGGAAAACATCGACGAATAGTTGAAACCGGTTCAGGTATGAAGGTGACAAGGTATTCACCGTTCGTAGGTTTCGAAGTATCTCGGTCGGAACAGCTTGGGCGCAAGTTTGAGAGAAGTGTCGGGACGCGCCTTGGCTGCGGGTGGTCTGGCATACATGTAAGGTCATGGCCGCGGTCGTATACAAGTCAGGTTCCGCATCATTGGCTGGACAGGTAGGACAGTATCACGTGTTGTTGCTGTTGTACACGTAATTATCTGGTTTTGCATGATTGGCTGGCCTTGTGAGTGACTGCATACGAAATCTCGTAAATGAGGCTAGCTCAGCATACTCAGGTTTCGCGTCATTGGTGCAGTCCCAGGCAGAGCCTCCAGCGCAACCAGTATATGAGCATGTCTCTCTCTCCTGCATTCGGGCTTCTCACTCCAGCTCCGATCGATCATCTACATCCGTAACCACGGAACCCAACTTCCACCATGATGGCGAGGAAGCTCTCGGAACGATTTTCTGACGAGGTCTGGACATCTCACAAGCTTGCTATTGGAGAGCTGTACATTGGAGAAGACAGGAAGCTCTGCGGCCATGAAGGTGTCATGGACATCATGACGAGACGTTACGGTTTCTCGCCCAGGTATGCATGAATCTGGGCTGATCATACTGCATTAGGCTGATCTTCGCACAGTGAATCGCAGTATGAAAGGAAGTTTGCTTCTTGGGGCATGCGCAAGAAAATCACCGGCAAGGAATGGAATGCGATTCTGCCTCGTGTGCAGGAAAGAGAGGAGCGTGGTCGGCAGACACTCGTTGCTTTCAACGGTGTATTTCTCGACAAGAAGCGTATGGAAAGAGAGCTAGATCGCCGTCGTTCCAACTCGAACATGCGCCAGGGTTTTGTGCAAGGTATGGAGTTCTTCGACATGCTTTCATAGGACTAATTCACAACAGTCGCAGTCCCTCCAACCCCTCCTGGCTTTACAATACAATCGCCACCAAACACCACCGACACAATTGAGGATCAGATCATGTCGGATCAGGGAGCCCCTCCAGGCATTATAGTACACTCGATACCAAACACGGCCGCCACACATGAGGATGAGAGCATGTTGAACGCCGGACCTCTTCCGGGTTCTGGAGTACAATCGCCATCGGATACGGCCGATGGACATCAAGATGAGACAATGTCGGACCCAAGTCCTCCACACGTGGGTCCAGCGGAGGCAGCTGTTTATGGCTACCAGACCTTGAAGCCAATATCTCAGGTCGCGCCTACAGATACCAAACTTGGTCCATATAGGCCGTCAGTGTCAAGTGAACACAAGGTTTTCAGACAGACGCTGACGCATCTGCATCGTCCAAAGGGGTTTGCTGCTTCCTACCTCCCGCGCGAGAAGAAGCTGTGGTTCTGTTGTGCATGTAATGGAGGGTCAAATCTGACGGCGATTAATGAAGGTTGCTCATACTGCTTCGATCACTGGCGTTGCAGTCGCTGCTACATGGTAGATAAATGTTGAAGATTGATGTCGAAGCAATTATGGCTAGAACTGGCAGAGTGTGCCCAAGCAGGAGCTGGATCAACGGCTCGTACATCAAAGGTATTTCGCGCAGAATATGATCAATTACTGCTTTAGACCCTCGTACGTGCGGTAGCCCATGTTGTGTCTGAAGCAGACGTCGCTAGCCCGCGGCGGCGCGTTGCAGAGCCGTGTCTTTGGTCCAAAATATGTTTTGGGGGTTGATCGTGCAATCCAGAGAGGTCTTGTGCGGCAGGTTGAGCAAAGACGTGGTCAGGAATAGGTAGGTCTTCAGGAGCGGGTACATATGGATGAACGGCGTGAGGTCGCGGGGCACTAGGTCGCCTTGATCGTGAACGTGGTTGCTGTTCTGCAGGCGCAGCTCCTCTTACATCTCCATTCATAACATGTACCTCCTGTATCATTGCTGGCGCAATCATCGTCCAAGAATAGGGCGCAGGTAAAGCAGGCATTTTGTCATGACACCTCTGTGTACTGACTGAACTTGATCTACCACGCCTACGGCGGGAAGAACGGCGTCTATGCTTCTGGCTACTGCTTCTTTCGGTCTCATTGTCTTCATTTGCCGGCCTCCCAATTTCTGTGCTGTTGTTCAGACAATGGCAGCCACTAGCCGGTCTTCCATGTCTTTCATGTGGAATATCGCTAGGCTCGATCATTTCCGGTCCATATCCGCACGTGAGCAGTGTACCGTCTTCTTGCATATGATGTCGAAGCTGCGAGAGTGACCGGCGCGGATGACGGAGCAAGTAGAGCGCAGCGTTGAGCCTCCCACCTTTCTCTGAACCAGGTGTAAGTAAAACGTCACATCCCATCGATACCGAGTTCTGGACGACGATCTTTGCGTCGCCAGCAATGTAGATGCCATTGTTGCGAAATGAAGAGGGCTCATGACGATGAGATGATGAAGTGTGACGATTTCGTTCTGGCATCCTTGCGCGTACATAGATATCGAAGAGGCAGCCGGGAATGTGCTGATAGACATTCGAAACAACGTTGTGTAACGTGTGCAGATGGAAATGTTTGCGACGCACTGTTGGCGGTGGACAACGGAAGTAAGGCGGACGCAAACATCTATATTGTACGCTTAGCAGACGTAGGAAGTTATATTTATACTTCGCCGTTCGTCCCCAACATATTGAGACGTTTGAACACAGGTGGCACCGCGATATTGGCTTAGGATACTGGATCTCTGGGATACGGTTAGGCATACTGCAACTGTGCATCGATAAGCATGATAAAACGGGACCATGCAGCGAAAACAGAACTGAGCATCTTCGAAGTGTTTCAAGCTAATGTCATCAATCAATCAGTTACCGTTCGTCGGCTTGGATGCCAACGGTTTTCGGTGGAGGGCTGATCCCCAAACCTCTCAGAGGTACCAAACATTGTTCGTCAACGCTCTGTGAACTTCTGACTAGCAAAGCAAGAGGTTTACGCAGGCTCCTCAGTCTTCGCCCGCTTTCCCTCCGCACCGCCATCATCGACTTCCAACTTTCTCTTGCTGCTGCCAGCATCGTTTGACCCTAAAGCTGCCGGTGCAGGCGCCTTGACCTTCTTCTTCACCATGCCCGAAACATCGTTTGCGCTCTTGGTAGCTTCCGCAATCTTTGCTTTTTGCGTTGCTGCGTCTGCTCCCAGAAGCCCACCTAGCAGTCCCTTGAACACCGACGAGTCGATGCTGTCGAACTCCTGCTTGTTCGGATCTGACTTCAGGTCTACAAGACGGGTCTTGAGATCCTCGAGCATGCCCTTTTTGTCTTCGATGATGACTTGCTTCTCCTTCTTCTGCTCTGGCTTCAACGTGTCGGAACCGAGTGCTGCCTCCTCCTTCTTCAGGCGCGCTTCCAGACTTTTGATGGCGAGATCTGTCTGTTCAGCAGCCTCGTTCCGCAGGTCCCAGTTTATGCCATCCTCGTCTTCCTTTCCTTGTTCCTGCTTAGCGGACGCATCGGTCGTTTGTCCAGTCTGGTCTTCCCGTACTTTCGAAACGGATGCGAATTCGAGCGCGAGGGATAGCGAGTAGTGTGCCTCTGTGACATTCTCGTGCTCGAAGGGGTATATTTCCTCTTGTAGTGCAAGCGCTTTGCGGGCGTCGGATATGGCGTCGTGAAATCGTTCGTTCTCGAGCGAGATCTCGACGAGGAAACCGTGGCAGTCGGCGATGCGCTCCTTGATGACGCGCGCCTTCGGGCTCAGCTCCGCCTTGCCTTTGCCCTTGTCTGAAGCGTCTCCTTCTGGGGCGTCTAATTGCCTCTCATACAGGACGCGGGCTAGCTCGAAGATCTCGTACGCGTTTCCGAGGTCGTCATCGTCCTCCTCTTCCTCGCCATCCTGCATGTCGTCATCTTCATCCTCGGAATCGGTCCAGTTCTCATCGCCCTGAAGCTGGAAGAATGGCGTCTCGCCTACTGGCTTCTCCTTCTGCTCAGGCTTTGCGGCGCTTGCACCTTCACCCGCCTCAGCTTTCGCGGCCTTTTTTGCCTTTGGCTTCTTCTTCTCCTCTTTTGCCACCTTGTTGCCTAGCACATCGCTCTTGGCGACTGCCGACCTGTAGAGCGCGCGCCCGTAGTAGAAGAGGAGCTCGGCGTTCTCAGGCGCCATCTCGCCGTTGAGTTCAGCTTGGATCTCGACGGCATCGGCGTAGTGCTCGGCAGCGGCGTCGTAGTTCTTAGTCGAGTAGTGGATAGAAGCAGCCTGCGACAGCTCTCCCATCTTCTCTTTCGTTCTGGGCATGTCTTCAGTCTCGGTGACGGTCGCGAGCGGTTCAGTGGTAGGGTCGGCCATTGCGTGAGATTTATCGTGTTTGTGTGATATATGCAGCGTATGCGACAACGATATCAGAGTTTACAGGCCGTAAGAGTAAGCGTGAAGGATGTCGAGTGTCGTGTTTGGGCAAGAGGCTCGGTGGTTGCTAGGAAAGGTAGCTCCGTCTCTAGCGCGAAATCGCGCTGGAACGCGTCGCACGCGTAAAGTGGAATCTCATGCGTGCCCATTACCACATTGCGACACAGCACAACTTCACCTTCACCACACCCAATATGGCCACCTCAAGAAGACCGGAGAAGCCCTCGGCGGTACCCTCAGATCTAATCCCGTCCTCATCGCCAGCGTTCGGAACCCCAGTTCATCCCATCAATCCCCGCAGAACCGCCCCCATACGCGCCCCGCCTGCACTCAAGCCAGTCGGCAAGTCCACTGTTCTCCCTATTCTGCTTCCTCCGGCGACACTACGACCGCTCGCATTTCGAACCTTCACCAAAAAGCACAACCTCACCCTCACATCTTCCGCCCTCCAAGCACTAGCAACGTTTGTGGGGAAGCACTGTGGTTCGGGATGGAGAGAAGAAGGCCTGGCCGAGAAGGTCTTGGAGGAGATCGCCAAGAGCTGGAAGAAGTGCGGTGGTCAGGTCATCGTCGAGGGTGACAATGAGACGCTCAAGGGCATACTGAAGACCCTCGAAGGCTCAATGAGCGGAGGGAGGGTAGTTCAGGGCTCAAATCTGGGCAGGCAAAGCAGCTTCAACTTTGGGCCTGAGATAGCTGGCCAGATGAATCGCCCGAGTATCGACACCAACAACAGCTTTGGCATGTCCAGCCTGGAAGTAGAGGACAAGGATGAGGATGAGGATCTGTTGAAAGATCCACGAGAGTGGATGAAGGTCATTGGCGCGTTCGAGCAGCCAAAGTTGATATACAATGCCACCCAGAAGCACTTTGAGAAGTATGTACCAGTCTAGAGAGAACGGAGTGTTTACTAATTATGTCAGGTCGGCTAAAAAGCCATCGCTGTTCCCAGATCCCTCACACAAGACCGAACTCTTCCGTCAACGCTACCACATCGTACACCAGCGCATACTCCGCAACGAGACGTTCCAAGCACCCACCTTCTCTACGGCTCGTTCCGCTACCCTCAACCGGACGGGATCAATCGCGACGTCACAAATGAACAGTATCACCCCAATTGCCAACTTGCTTGGTCGAACCGGAAGCACGCATTTGCTGCTAGGCATGCTCACAGTTTCGGCCACTGGTGCGCTTTCACTCTCAGACCTCACAGGCACAATCACGCTAGACATCCAACACGCCCGCCCAATTCCCGAGAATGGCGCATACTTCGCACCAGGTATGATTGTTCTAGTCGAAGGCAGCTACGAAGAGGACGCCGGAGCCACATCAACTCTAGGAGGCAGCGGTGGTATCGGTGGCACAATAGGCGGTAAATTCCTCGGCTTCTCGGTCGGACACCCTCCCAGTGAACGCAGAACAGCAACATTGGGCGGCGCCGAAGAGGTCGATAAGAACAGCTTGGCTGGACCAGCGTTCGGGTGGACAGACTTCTTAGGTGTCGGTTCTCAGCGTGCGACTGGCACCCGTATGAACAAGATCGCATCAAAACTCCTGGATCAAGAAACAGCACACAACATTGTCATAGCGTCAGACCTTCATTTGGACGTTCCATCGACGTTATCCGCTCTCCGTACCCTCTTACGCACATACACACCCGATCCTACCGACTCTCACCCGGTCTACCCCCTTGCTATCATCCTAATGGGAAACTTCAGTTCGAAAGCCAGTCTTGCAGGGGTACCAGGAACAGGCAGCATAGAGTACAAAGAACACTTCGACGTACTTGCCTCTGTCCTTGCAGACTTCCAACCGCTCATCGCACACACTACCCTCGTCCTCGTCCCCGGCGACAACGACGCCTGGCCGAGCGCATTCTCCGCTGGCGCCGCTACACCACTACCACGAAAGCCCATCCCAACAATGTTCACCAGCAGAATCCGGAAAGTGGTAGCCGAAGCCAACAGAGAGATCTGGGGTGCAGGTAAAGCAAAAGGCAAAGAAGGAGAAGTAATCTGGACCTCTAATCCCTCGCGCCTGAGCTGGTTCGGCGTAAAAGGCGAGATGGCAATTCTAAGAGACGACGTCGCCGGCAGGCTGCAAAGACAGTCGATACGATTCAACAAACCACCAGCCGATGTAGACGACGAGATGCCATATGCACCAAGTCATCAACAGCAAGAGGCAGAGCAGCAAGACGCTATGGATCTCGATCTCAGGATGCCGCCACCCCGACCGCAGCAACAGCAAGCAGATGTTGATCTTGATACGCAAACAGCGCGCGCACTTACGCGAACTATACTCTCGCAATCACACCTTAGTCCCTTCCCGCTTTCGGCGCGGCCATTACATTGGGACTTTGCTCATACGCTGAATCTCTACCCGCTGCCGACAAGTTTGGTGCTAGCGGATAGCGATGCGCCGGCATTTGTGGTGAAGTACTTTGGCTGCACGGTCATGAACCCAGGAAGTATAGATGAGAGTGGGGGGCGGGGCAGGAGAGAAGGGAGGGCGCGATGGGTGGAGTTTGATATTAGGACTTTGGCTGGTACTGTGAGGATGGAAGGGTGATATTAGTTAATGTGAACGTTTACGATCTTCTTTTTATCAGCATTGCTGTCTTGTACACACAGGGACCACCCCATCCAAGGGAAAAACTGGACGGATTCCTCCACGAAGTTAATTCAAGTAAGCTAACAAGGCTACATTGCCTTAACACTTCCTACAACGTGTATGAATCGTGTTACGTTTCCATGCACAAGGATACAATGTCTCCACCTAGACTGTACGTTACGACAGAGATGCTAGTTGAAATGTCGAGTATGCAACGCAAGAGTTCCATTAGAAATTATCTACATCGGTTTCCGCTCTTCCGCTTCATCCATCCAACCAACCAACATAAACACACATCAATTCCAATCAAGTCATGTACAAAGCTCAAGCTCTTAAACTCAAAAAAAGCGAGGGGTATTGCGGCACACGCGCACGTATGCCGTAGCATCACTAAAGAAGTCCGCCCCGCCTGTACGTAGTAAGAAAAGGTAAGGAAACTGGTATCATTGTTCTTTTCGAAAAGCTCGTCGGAGCCAATCGAGCGCTGAAAAGGGAAAAGGAAGACTAGACAGAGGTACAACACAGAGCGTAGATGGAAAACAAGAAAATTGATGGTCGTCGTGGTTTCGGGCTCAGAGGCGTAGGGTGGGAGACCGAGATAGTGGGGGTGAAGTAGATCGATGACAGGTCAACAATTTGTTCGCAACACGAATAAAGGACGCAACGGAAATGTGCGAGCGGTTCGATGCGGTAGACGACGAGTGTTCGACTCTGTGGCGTTTGGCATGAACGGCGAAAGCCCCAGGGTGGTCTTGATGTTTCCTCGCAGGTCTACAACAACGCGAATTAGCCATTAGCCAAACGCGCTCAATCGTTCAGTCCGAAAACCCGCCTTAGGCCTTGGAACTTCTTCTTCTTTCCGCTCCTGCCATAGGAGACCGAACGGCCCTGCGCGTCCACGATGGGTGCCGAGACGTTAGAGACGAGGCTGGAACGGGTGGCGAAGCGAGGTCTACGGGGCGCGACACCATCTGAACTCACGGGACGATCGTCAGTGCCGATGGTGGGCGGAAGTGGCCATTCGGGAGTCTTTCGACGTTGCAGCTTAGGCGACCTCTGAGGAGAACTGGGTGTCGGGTCGCCGAATTCCTTGTCCTCGTCGATGGGCGTCATAGGGTGAGTCATGTCGCGGTTGCGTTGCGCGGGTGGCATGGGAATCTCGTCAGGCGCTGGGATGTTTTGCACAGCCTGGGGTTGCGCCTGGACGGCTTCTGGTTGGGCTGTAGTTTTCTTCTTTCCCAGACCGAAGAAGCCACGCTTCGTCTTGACTTTGCCAGCAGCTCCAGAGGACGAGGGCGCATACTTGCTGTCACGTAAAGAGCCAGCGGATAGGGCTGTACCTTGTGCGCCGGCGTTGCCAGTGGCGCCACTGGTTGTGTTCGTCGCTGGTGCTGATTGCGCAGCCACGTTGGGCGTTTCATCGTCGGCTTCTTCTTCCAGATCTGTGGAGTCGCCGTCTTCTTCGCCTGCTTTCCTAGGAATCCCTCGTACCGGCGCTAGACCTGGGGGCAGGGTGTAGTCGAGAGGCTCGTCATCGTCTGAATCATCAAATCGACTCTGGAAACGAGACGGCCGAGCGTCGTCATCTTCGTCGCTTGAATCAGCGAACCGACTCTTGAACGGAGCTTTGATGGCCTTGGCAGGTGTTGCCTTTTGCTTTGATGGTTTTGGTGGCTTTGGCTGCTTGTTAAAAGTAGGCATTGGCTTCGCCTGCGTAGGCGACGAAGGACGCACATCAGGTCCTTTCCGAAATCTGCCCATTGGAGACAGAGATCGGATGCTGAACTTGGAAGATCTGACTGGTTCTGGGGTAGGAGAAGAGGGGCGCATAGACCTTCGCATGGCGGGCGACGGTGATCCTGGAGGGGAGATTGCGCGAACTTGCTTTGGCGCTGGAGCACTTGCTCGCATGGTAGGCGCAGGTTCTTGTCTCATTGAGCCACGCATGGTGTATCGCCCACCTTGTTCCCGTCCGCGCTTCCTGACACGCTGGAAACTGCTTGCAGACGCGTCTGAGTCACTGTCGTACGTGGGTGCTGGGGCGGCCATCGGTTTCGTGGCAGGCGCGCTCTGTGGTCTTCCCTTGCCGACGGCAGCAGCAGGCGGGATGTTCTTCTTTTGAAGAGCACCTCGAGGTTTGGTATCCATAGGTACCATACTGTGGCGTGATGCTGCTAAACCCATGCCTGGCGCGGGTGAGGGATCGGCTGAACGCATGCTCTGTCGCATCTGAGGCTGTGCTCTAGGAGCTGCAGCTCGAGGGCCGCGCATACTCGATCGCATAGTTGATCCCATCTGAGGTTCGGCGCGTGGAGCCGTGTTCGGACCTCCTCTCATGGTTCGCTTCATGTGAATCTCAGGAGTATCTTCCCTCGGCGCCGCTGTTCGCAGCGATGTCTTATTCTGCGGTTCAGCTGGGCGCGCCGACTGCGGTGCAGGGCTCTTCTTCAAAGCGGACTTGAGAGGTTTTGTCGGTGTTCGATCGGCCGATGCAGCGGTCCTTGGGGGTGGTATAGCAGTAACCTTGCGCTCTGGTGTGGTATCCGGTGTATACTCGCGTGTAGCAGATGGTCTAGACCTTTCGTCTGAGACTGGGGCTTGTGTGACTCGAGAGATCACTTCTTTTGCATGCGATGCTCGCTCGGAAGGTACTTGGGTCTGCTCCGATTGAGAGTCTGGCTTCTTCAGAGACGCGTTCACACCACTCCAATGCTGCTGAGCAGCGTTCCAGTCTTGTGTTGGTGTAGTGTCTGAATCGCGGTTGTCATCCACAGACGTGTCTAATTGGAGCTTCGATGTAGGCTTGTCCGTGGAACTTGCATTGGCATACTTTGAATGCATCAAGCCAGAAGATGCCGGAACGGCCGGACTTTCCATAAGTGCATTGATGCTACCAAACCCGCCTTCGCCATCAGTGAGGTCTTCATAAGCATCGCTATAAACGCTGCTGTCATCCTCGGTAGTCTCGTCGTCTTCCTCAGTCCGTGTGAAAGACTGTTGCTGTTGACTCGTTGAGTCCTGGTCGGGCATAGACGTTGCGGACTTGGTTGGAGTGGGGGTAACTGTGCGTCGGTCGGACTCAGGAGCATCGTCGCCCCAACCCCCAGGTATCGCCATGTTCTGGTAAACAGGTTCAGGCTTCTCGTATGGGCTAGGAGTAGCAGGCTGGAGTGCGATGTTGGGCACCTCAACGATCTGTTCCGTGATTGGAGCAGCCGTTGCTGGTGTCTCCTCTTGTGACGTAGACAGGGACTTGGGCTCTGGAGCAGGGGGCTGCTTCGAGGACTCCATAGGATTATGGGTGTCTGAATAGTCGCTTGAGTCTGACACATATCCACTCCCTTCAACGGAGGTGACTTCAGGCGGTAGAGGGCTGTCTTGTCCGTGCTTCTGGGCAAAGTCTTCGGCAACAATGTTTCCAAGCGCGACGTCGCTGGAAGCGTTTGAAGTCGGGAAAGTCTCGGTGACCTTCTCAGCCATGTTCTCCTGCGGTCGTCGCTCCTTCTCGCGTATGCTGCCGAACGATGGTAGAGCAGGGCGTGGCTTCATGAAGTCCTCGAACTCGTCCTCTTTTTCGGCTATGGGACTCCACTTGGACACACTGAGACCTCCGTGAGGCTGCGCAACTGTATCGGCCTGTGTAGGTTTGCTTGGCAGTACTGGATCCTCCTCGAAACTAACACGCACAGTCTTCTTCTTCTTCTTCCTGCCTCCATCGTCAGACGCGGTGTCAGATGCATCGCTTGGGGCAACTTTGGCAAAGAGACGTCCGTTCGAAGTAGCAGGCGATTCGCCGCGGCGCGATACCGAAGGCGAGCTCTTCAAGGCAGATTTCGCAGGTGATACTGAGCGTGGCAGGGGGTCGTGTTTGGTGCCAGCAAGTTCGACAGCTACAGGCGCAAAATGGGCAGTGCGTGGTGGGCTCAGCGAAGTATGCCGATCGTGCGTGTCACGAAGGCTGCCACCACCATTAGAGCTTGCAGGTGTCGAGTTGGCTGGGGCGGCGATGCGAGGGTACGCGCTGTCCTGGTTGATAGCGAATTTGGGCGAAGGTACCTCGTCTTCGTGGCCGGCTATAGTGCCATATCCAGAGTCGTCCAACCTGCGACTGGTGTTTGCCTGCTCCTGAGGTGGGAAGTCGGCATCAACGAAGTCATCGGAGTGTCTTGTTACTGTAGCGGTACTGGGTTGCGGTTCGGGAGTGCGCGACACAGGTATCGGCTCTTCTCTTCTCTGTGATGCTGGCTGTTCCTGGCGAACATAGTGGCGTATAGGACTCGGTGAGCCGCGGCCCATCTGGTTCTCTGGTATGTGGACGGAGTGAAAGGTGTCGGCATGCTGTGACACGAATTGTCGCGTGGGCTCGGGCTCGGGCACTTCGTGCAGCTCTCGATGACGGGCCATGGCATCTTGCTTATGAATGAATTTGCGCGTCGAAGGGTCGTAAATGGCATCAGGTGAGTTCGGATCGACGGGTCGAGGGGCTTGTCGCGGCACATATGATTGCGTCTGTACAGCAGAGCCAGATGGCTTGGCGCGCATACTGCCACTCGACAGTCTTGCGCCTTGCAGACCCTGTGAAATCTGGTGCGTTTGCACTGGGCGCTCAGAGGCGCTCTGAACCGATCGTTGGGCATTCTGGAGGTCGTAGCTGGAGACACCACTGGACGTCTTTGGTCGCGATGTCGAGGCCATGCGCTGGACCGCATCCTGATTCACCACAGGGCCGCCAAACCATCCTTTGCTCGAGGGCGGAGAGGGGTTCTGGCGTGTGCCTACGGCGCCTGGGGACATTGGGCGGGAGAAGTTTACGGATCGCAACGCGTCGTCCTCCTCGGACACCTGAGCGAGATGGCTAGCAGGCCGTTGCCCTCTCCCAGTAGGATTAGCGCCCCTATCCAGGCTGACGCCTCTGCCTCTGCCTCCTGGCGCGGGTGATCCTCCACGGTACGTAGGCTCGAGGCTGGACGCACGCCGGTGAACGACGCTGCCCTGCTGCTGCACGTTCTTTGGCATTGGCGGAACCGGCGGCGCATCTGCATCCGCTGGACTTCCTCCGGCGGGTGATGGCGCGCGAAAGGAGCGCTCCGTCATGGATCCTGAGCTCGACTGCCGGCGCAGGGGGCCGGGCTGTTGTCGCGAGATGCTGCCGTTTGACGAGAGCGAGCCGCGGCGGGCCATGCGCTTCGTGACTGTGTCGCCTACGGGAGTCGGCGTCGTGACGTGGGTGCGCAGGGCGGCGGCGGCAGCAGCCGACGAGAGGTCGCCGTTGGATTCGGCATTCTTAATGAAGGCCTTGGAGGCGGCGAGCGAGGCGGATGCGCTGGGCGGAGGGGCTCGCTGGGGCTGCATGGGCGACATTTGTTAGCATCGCGTCGCCATACGCCTGCGGAGCGCGCCAGGAGGTTTGCGCGCACACGGAGAGAGCACCTACCGGATTCGACGCTGCCCGTCGTCGCTTGCCGAACATGGTGGCGGTGGTGAATTAAAGATTACTGCAGTTGCGGCTGGCGCTGCATTGCCGTGTGATGCGATGGTGTGGTGGCTTTGGAGATGCAGGTGCAAGGGTCGTCTAGATGATGTCACGCCTGCGGCGGAACCGTGCGGCCTGGGTGAAAGAGTGGAAAGCTACCTGCGTCAAACCGCCAAACGAAAAACAAATCACGGGCGTCTCACGTGTGGAAGGATTGGAAGGGTTGGAAGTGCGAAAAGGGCTCCGAGATGCTTCTGGGCGGAGTCGACTTGTTGTAGCTAGCAAAACAAGTAAGAGGATCGTCATGTTCCCGGACACCCCAAAGCTTAGGTCGGACGTGTTGGCGCCGCAGAGGCCCGCGAAGCCTCGCGCCGGCGCATTTGCATCGTCACAGAAAGTGTCAAACACCTCATCGTCTCAGCTACATGGTCAAACAGGCACGCATGTCGAGGATGCGGCTGTTGCACGCCCAGGGAAGGCGTGGCTTAACGTTGCCAGATGCAGTCTAGACGTGGCCCAGAAGAGACATGCATTGTTTACGTTCTAAGTCTCTTCACCCTCACGCCTGGTGCTTGCTCACATCCATCATCGCAAACGCGCACGAACTTCTCCTGAGACTCTGCCGGAGCGGCAGCAGTGCTTTTCCACGAGCCTGTTTCTTCTCTCACGCGCCGGTACTTTCACGGTCCCTGATTCGCACCTCTCCAGCTAGTAACAACCCTGAGCCCCAACACCATTCTAGCCAGTCCCTATCCGGCGCCACTGACGTAGGCGATATCTCCAAGAGCAACCGTCGTAGCGCCGGGCGCCGTACGCTTTGTGATTCGCGATTCTCTTCCAAAACAGACGCAGACGTCTACAGCGTTTGCCTGTCAAACGTCGCACAGGCACCCATGTCCAGTTCCAGGGACTATTGCGACACCATGTCGAATACAGATCGATTTGATCATTGCAACGTGGAACGCGCATTTTTGCGCAAGGCCATGTGGGTTAGGATCGACGAACTGGCCCACCCAGAGCTCGAGAAAGATCGCCCAGACCGCACATCTCTTCCCCGCGCTAACTGCTAACATCGTGACGATTGACCAGCACTGCCACCTCCCGATTCATCAAACAGAAAGCGACCGAGTGTATACTTCATCCGTGCGCCTGCCCTACTCTATTTGTCTTCCGGTTTGCTTTCGTCTGAGACTCCATCAGCATGGCATCACCAGCGTCGCGCCTGCCGCCTTTGCCATTACCACACGGCATCGTCGAGAACTATGTCTACTGTCCATCAAATGGCATCACCTTCCACACGCTCGAAGCTGGGTATACTCCCCAACGCGATAAGCCTCTCATCATCCTCTGCCACGGCTTTCCGGAGCTTGCGTTCTCTTGGAGGAAGGTTATGGTGCCCATCGCTGATGCCGGCTATCATGTGGTAGCCTTCGATCAACGTGGCTACGGACGCACCACCGGATGGGACAACTCTTCGTTCCCCAACACCAACTTATCCCAGTTTGCTCTGACCAATGTCGTCCGTGATGTGGTTACCCTGGTTAATGCTCTGGGTTATCGAGAGGTGAAGTGTATCGTCGGGCACGACTTCGGTGCTGTCACTTCCAGCATGTGTGCTCTGATGCGTCCAGACCTCTTCAAGAGCGTTGTCATGATGAGTCATCCTTTCAAAGCTCCTGCACAGCTGCCATTCGATATAGCCCACGGTGGCGCTCGCGAACCTGCGCCATCGCCTGACATTCACGCTGAGTTGGCAAAGCTGCCCGTGCCAAGGAAGCATTACAAGTGGTATAACAGCACTAGTACAGCCGGGGCCGATTGGATCAATCCAAGCCAAGGGCTGCATGCCTTTCTTAGGGGCTATCTTCATGTCAAGTCAGCCGACTGGGAAGACAACTCACCACACCCTCTCAAGAGCTGGACGGCCGAAGAGATGGCCAAAGTACCCAATTACTACATTATGCCGCTGCACCAGTCAATGCCCGATACTATTGCTGACATGATGGCCAACCAAGATAGCTCGGCGACTGAAAGATGGATGCCTGACCAAGACCTTGATATCTACGTCCAGGAATGGTCAAGGACAGGCTTCCAGGGCGGTCTCAATTACTACCGAGTCACCACCGATCCACTTCTTCAAAAAGATCTCGAGCTATTTGCGGGCAAGAAGATCGAATGTCCAAGTACCTTTATCTCAGGCGCGACGGATTGGGGCAATTATCAGCAGCCTGGGGCCCTCGAGGCCTATCCCGAGTCATGTTCAGACTTTCGAGGGATCCACTTGATCGACAACGCAGGACACTGGCCCCAACAAGAACAGCCGAAGAGAGTCGTTGAAGCGATATTGGGGTTCGTTCGCTATCTTTAAGTCAATTGCAGCTGCGGCGTATACGACGCTTGACGGAATATGCGATTCTCCCAACTTATCAATTATGCGGCTCCCGATCGTCCACATATTTAAAATCCGATTCAAGCCACCAACAAAGGGGTTCCTTCCGTTTCAGATCAGAGATGACCATCTTGTTGAGGCTGCTACGCCGCTCCGCCGCAATTCCTTCTCATCTTCGGTCGGCTAGAGTTGCCGCCCGTTTACTCGCCGTTACCCGAACCGAGGCCGGCAGTCAGGTTCGTAGTTCAGCACGACTCGAAAGACTCGTGATGTGCAGTATTCCAAAGCTTCGTCGCAGTCAAAATCCACTATCGTCGCAAACAGAGTTAAGTGCTGCAACATCAGTACTCCATCGCAGCAATCGGAAGGAAGAAAATCAGGCTGAATACCAGTCTAAATTTCACAACTTCTCCACAGTAAGTACATACGCGAGCTTCTATTCTCAAGAAGACGGAAGGTACATATGCATTGCATCAACGGCAAAGACGGCCTTTGCGGTTTGTTGAGCGAGAGGATTTGAAAAAGGCTGCACAATGACATTGTATTTAGCTGCTCAAGCTAGAAGTGAGTACGTCTACGATCGCTTAACTGCAGGCAGGTGGCGTGGGTATCCGATTCCCCTGATCTCGCATGCAGCTCGCGGCAGTGCTGACTCGGCGCTAGAGCCTATTCTTACCAGGTGCGCTTAGCATATCATCGAGCATCAACGTGCAGGATCACACTTGTCTCCTTATGAATGAACAGACGGCAGGATGGAAGGGATTGCAGTGTATAAGAGAACGGGACGGGCGGAGGGCATTGTTGTGTGCACAGAACTTTCACTACCGCGCAGAAATGACCGCCTCTCCTCCTCCAGCCACTTCGTCCCGTACTTCATCTCTTTCCTTTACCAATACTCTTGCAACCCTACGTCACTTGGTCAAATGCTGCCGGGAAAGCACGCAATCGCCACCCACTAATAACACGAGTGATCAGTCAATGCGTCCAACGGTCCACGCAATTGAGCAGTCTAACGCATCACCTAACTTGCTCAAAGGCTCGCTCAACCAATCTCCTTCCAGCTCCTCTGTATCGAGCGTGTGCGAAGATGGGTACATCAACAAGAATCTCGCTATCACTCAACATATACCCATCGATTACCAACCCGACACATCTCAAGAGACATCTCAACCGCCACTTGATAGCGACGCGAAAACCTACATACGCAGTCGCGAAGATACTCTCGATCCTTTGAGTCCTTCGAATCAGCCATGCAATCGATCAGCGCCGCTTCAAGAACATTCTCCTCCAGCAGAATACGCAGAGAACTATACAGCGCCACTGACGAAGCAGTTGGACGAGAAAGATATCGGTGTTGTGACAACAGTTACAATGTCTTCGCAATTGTCGTCATCGATGCTCTCTAAGCCAAAGATCACATTTCGACATCGAGTGCGGGACATCTGTCTCCATTGGTTTACAGCATACCGAATACTCATCGGGCTCACCTTCGCTGTAAACATCGCAGTGTTCGCTGTCATGGTCAGAGGGAACCGTCACGACCATCTCGGCCTCTCTGGACCCCTGATTGCTGCCGCCGCCAATATCTTCGCCGCCATTTTCGTACGCCAGGAAGATCTTATCAACGTCTCCTTCTCCTTTGTAGCCAGAACGCCAGTAAGCCTACCATTATGGCTCCGGAAGATAATCGCAGACTTCCACCACTACGGCGGACTACACATCGGCTGCTCTATATCATCACTTCTATGGTACTGCTACTTTGTCTTCTTGGACACCAACCACTTCCTCGAACACTTCGGGCAGCGCAAGGCTTCTGGTTGGATGTGGGCCGACATTATCACTTGCTACGCCTTCCTCACAGCCATCTTGTGCATCTGCGTACTAGCGCATCCACACCTGCGCGTAAAGTTTCATGACGCCTTCGAAAAGACACATCGCTTTGGTGGATGGACAGCGTTGTTGGTCCTGTGGCTCAACGCAGGTGTGTCCAGCCGCAACCCCGGTAGTCCACCGCTGTACGCAAACGCCGCCCTCTGGCTGCTAGCCGCCACAACTTTCCTCATAATCCTCCCATGGACGCGTATACGCCGAGTGCCGATAACTGCCGAACCCGTTTCTAGCCGCGAAGTCAAGGTTACCTTCCCGTACAAAGACATGCCCTACACGTCCACCACGCGCTTCTCGCTGAGCCCCGTCCTCGAATGGCACGCCTTCGCCACCATACCGTGCTCGCCTTCTCCTGAAAATCCTTTCGCATACATTGTTATCTCTCAAGCGGGTGACTGGACAAAGGCAATGATCAAGTCTCCACCGACACACATCTGGCTTCGCAAACCCGCCGCCAAGAACTTCCTCTCTTTCGCGCCACTCTTTAATTCCCTGCTTCTCGTGGCTACTGGCGCAGGGATTGGCCCATTGCTCTCACTCTTATGCTCACCTGCGATTGCGCGGATGCGCGAGCAGGGCAGACAGGTTAGGGTCATGTGGTGCGTCTACGATCCCGATGCTGCGCATTGGCAGTTCGTCCAGGATATCATCCGTAACGTGGATCCCGAGCCTAAGATCTTTGACTCGCGCGAGGGAAGACCGGATCTAGCGTTCGAAGCTGAGTTTATGAAAGAGCAGTGTGGATTAGAAGCTGTGATGGTAGTGAGTAACCCGACAGTTACGAGGGAAATTGTTGAAGGGATCAAGGCAAAGACTGGTGCTGCATATGGCGCGGTGTTTGACTCTTAGACGCTATTGTTAGTTTGTTTCTGTGTGAGCATGGATATGCTCTGCTTTCTGGATTGACGGTTCTGGTGCGCTTTTCGGTTATGTTCACTTCGGCTTTGGCTTCGACCTTAGCCTAAGAACAGGCTCTTCCGTCGCAGTAGAGCTGTGATTACATTCTGTATTTGTATGAACATTTCCTGAATCGGATTTGGATGGTGACCACCCATGCACATTGTCTGTAACGTCGTGCGATAAATCTTTTCATTTGTAGTAAGACTGTTAAAACATTCACTGTGTATCAGTTCCACCGTTATCTCTCACGATGTCAAAGGCAGAAGCAAATGAAGACTAAAAATTACAATTTAGAAGTACTACTACTATAGCTGCTACTATGTATAAGAGCCGCCATTACAAGTCACCAGTTCTCTCGATACAGTAACAATCCTTACATGACCTCAACAACAGCGGGGCCAGCGATGATAGTGTCATCGGTAGCGGCAGTGTTGCAGCTGGTAAGAACAACGTAGCTCTGGCCAGCAATGCCCTTCTCGGGGACGGTAACCTCGAAGCCACCCTCAACCATGGTCGCCTCAACGAAGACGGGGCCGGTGACAGTGATGAAAGCGGCGTAGACCTTGCCGTCAACCTTGTAGCCGGAGGTGGCGAGCATGACCTTGCTGCCAGCCTTGATCATCATGCTACCGTCAGAAGCGGAGGCAGCAAGAGTAGGGAACGCCTTGACGGGGAGAGGGGCGTTGGTCTCGGGGCAGGACTTGATGAACTGCGCGGCGAGGGTGTAGACCTCGTTGTAGCTCAACGGGTTGTCGAAGGGAGCGGGGAAAGGCGAAGCACCGACGGTGTTGCGGATGTATGCCGAGTGGCGGGCCTCGACAGTGAGGATGGAGCCAGCGGCAGTGAGGTAGGTCTTGGACATGATGTCGGCGGCAGCACCGAGGTAGGCGCTGACACCAACGCCCTCGAGGACACTGGCGGTGGCAAGGAAAGACGCAACGTCCTTGTAGCCGAAGTCGTAGGTGCAGGCCTCGACGGGCTTGGCTCCAGCAGCGCTGAGCGCACCGGTCAAGAAGGAGACGTGGGTCTCCTCATCGGAAGAGATGGTCTTGATGCGGTTGTAGGCCTCCTCGGAGAAGTTGGCAGCCTTGAAGTCCTCGACAGTGAACTTGGCGAGGGCCTCGCGGTAGAAGGTGTCCTCGAGGTGCTCGAGAGTGAGCGCGTAGTTGAGGATGACACCGTCAGTTACGCCATCAGCACGCTTGATGGGGGATGCGGTGGAGACAGCCGCAAGAGCAGCGATGGCAGCGATGGTAGACTTCATGGTGATGATGGAGTTGAGTAATTAAAACCGAGTGATTCAAGTGTGAGGAAAGACTGTAGATGCTCAGAGTAGTGAACTTGGTGAACTGTGAGATGCTTCTTTCAACCCAGCGGCACCAATCCTGTCTTATACCTCCCGTGTCCATTCCTCCAGGCCTCTTTGTCTCCGCCTCAATCTCCCGTAACCACCTCCATCACAAAGCTTACTACCCCTCTTCCAGCGTTCGCCCGCACCACCTCATCATCTCATCTCCCAAAACCTATAGGCTAGGCACAATACATCCCGTAGACGGACATGCTTCCATCCGGCGCCAGTCGAGATCTCACAGCCCAAGCTGCCAGCACCCCCGATCAGTCTAACCTGAATGACTCCAAGTAAGGCCGCCGTCAATCCCAAATCAGGCCGAGACCAACGATCAGTATTACCTGATCGAGCACTGCAGCAAGGGCTGTTAGTGTGGAATGAAGAAGAGTGAACAAGTAACAAGGGTCCAAGGGCGATGTTCCCCGCAGAAAATCGCGGTAAGTTGTTTAGTCATGTTTGTGTACCACGGAACCTTCACCATCCGGACTGACGCTAGTGCGGTTAAGCTCAGAAATGACGTCGCGCTACTGCAAAACCATACCGATGCCGACCTAGTGCCCAGGTAATCTTGACCTTTTTAGTCAGGGGAGTAGGTTGTACAATTGTCATCTTTAGACTACATGTTTTGCGGAAGGTTTTTCTTCCTTCGCTCGCGGCGAGCGTGGCTTGGGTGAGATGCAGATCTACGAGAGATAGACAGGGGAGGTTGTGATGGTGCTATGGAAAGGTGAGCTTCCGAGGGGCAATGTCGGTGGGAATGACTTGGTGGACGGGATGGAGAGGTGGGTTGTTACGTGATGTGAGCTGTACAGAGGAGCCCAATTGCTAGAGGCTGCGAACTGAATGCGCCTTCTGCTTTCGTTGTCTTTTCTAGGAATATCATCGTTCAAAGAGTCGCTGATAGGTCAGCTCATTATTCCAATAACGGTTCTTTCTCTGCGGAAATTCCTATCTGGAAAGGTATCCAAGACCGTGACCCCGGAATCACCACCGTTAGTACAAACGCCTCCAAACATCACGAGCGGAACTTCCCACCTCCACATTCTTCCATGCCAATTACCCTGGCCTAGCCAGGTACAGACCATGCGTTGATCTAATATCTAGCCGCCTTCTGTCGACGGTAAAGTCTGTCTCCGTACTTTAACCCGTTAGTGACGCCTTAAGTTCAGATTAGTTTGGTCTAGCTGCCGTGATGTTTGTTGTCGCTGCACCCTTGCTAACTTGTTTGCCTGCTGATCAACACTCTTTTCGCGGGATATATGACCGATGCAGCGGGAAATAGGCGCGGGAACGTGATCAACTGTTTACTCGGAAGACGTTTGATCCGATCAGAGTTGAATTCATCGACCGGGTTTTCGGCTCGAGGGTTGCCACTTGTGTTTGGAATGGAGGTGGACTAGTTGGTAAGTTGTGGATGTGACTGGTAGCTTGTTTGGAGAACGGACGAGGCCGTATGCGGAGTATTGGTTGGTGTACGCCAGTGATAACTGCCGCGTTTCGATATGTCCTTAGGTCGCAATTGAAATTAAGAAAACTAGGGAGGTGAACTGTGCGCGTGCTCGAAGGCGATAGGTAACGGGATGAAGTACAAAGAAGGGTGTCGAAGGTCGTTCCTTTTCGGATTCCTTTCGCTTCTCCCTCGCTTTCCTCAGAGTTGACATATAATCATACTTCAGTCCTTCCCGATCGAAAAAAAAACACTCAAACATCTCCTACCTTCAACACTAAATCACCTTCACAATGAAGTTCTCTACCTCTTTCGTCGGCGCTGCCGTCTTGCTTGCCAGCACTGTCTCTGCTGCGTAAGTCAACCTTCATCCCTACCCCTCCTACCAGTTATCCCCACTGTCCAACCTAAGCTCACTCAAACTAACACTCCTTATAGCGAAGCCCCAGCCGTTACAAACACCCTGACCGCCAAGGCCGGCTGCCCCTCTGCCGCACCCGCCGATGTCATGGTAACGCGCTCAGCCGTTGCCGTACCATCTTGCGCCGCCGGCGCCAACGAGACCAAGCCCAGCATTGTCACCATGCCTGGCTACGGAACAGGCATGATGGGTAGCGCCACAGGTACAGGAATGATGCCGGAGTTCACTGGTGCGGCGTCGGCGAACATGATTAGCGGTGTTGTCGTTGGTGTGTTTGGTGGATTGGCTGCTGCGCTCATGGTCTAAAGTTCTTGCGGAGGTGGACCGTGACGTGGATGTTGGCGATGTGGGATGGAGATGAAGAGATGTTTGATGCTTCAGGTGTCTGGTGCATAGACATAGAGGTTGTAAGAGCTGTGTTTTCTAGTCAATACCTTTTCGAAGAGATGGGGGAGATGATAGTATGTAATGCTAATAGTGGTTGGGAGAATGTACAATGACTTCTCGGCTGGAAACATAGTCGTTATCACACATGAAGCACGTACCTTTACTAAGTTGCCGTGATCCTCGCTCCATGGATTCTCCTTCTCATTACCTGCGAGTGACGGGCATGTAGTAATCATCCCCGGTGGGTCCAGTTGACGCCATCTTCCATACCCACATGAGCACATACCCGCCGTGGAGCAAACTTTGACGCAACTCCATGACGCGGCCAGGTAACGTAAACTCGACAGACTTAAAAGCCAAAAGGATACGTCTCTTGCATTTATATTCCCGTACATGCCCTATCTACAATGCGCTTCACATATTTTCGTCTCCGTAGCTTACAAAGCGCGGAGGAAAACGCAGCACAAGACCTTCAGACCTTGACAAATCCACACACACAATAGCCAGCCGGTTTCATCACATCCCGGTAATCATATATATACACAAGTAGAGGGCTCCTTCCCTCCTGAGATTATCCAATGTAAAGTACCTAACATGTCTCGATATAGGCTCATCCAGACGAATCCATTCCCAGAACACTGGTGTGGCATTCAAGCCCACAAAAGGAGGGAGCAAAAGAAAAAGGGCAGAACTGTGCCCCGAGTATACAATTCGCGGAAAGAGATCGATGGAGCGGTCGGAAAGAGTCGCCGCGATGATGCCGAAGATGAAGAACGCCCGCCAACGCCATGCCGTCATGCAAGAACTCGTATGAGAAGGGATGCTATACGCGCTCGTATCGTATCTAGTTGTCGTACGTCGAGGGTAACGATTTGCCGCCGCAATCGGGGATCTTAAGCCCGGGCTTCAGTTTGCGGTTGACGTCCATGAGACCCCACTTGTCTTCCCACTCTTTGCCCTTTTCGTTATACTGGATCTTCCATGGCTCGTCAAAGGCTGAGAACCTAGGGAAGTATTAGCGGCAGTCTATCGAGGCTGGATCACAGGGAGACTTACCAAAAGTACTCTGTCCCGTTAGTTAGACTTGGGCAAACCCAGTCTTCCATGAATTGGTTCATTTCGTCAATACCGGCAACAGAGCCTCCGGCGCAAGTGTCAGCTGCACCACAGTCGGTGCCGCCTCCAGATGGCCAGCCAACCTCGGCGATTACCTGGTGGATGTCATTCTGGGTTGCGGTCAACGACACGTCGTGGGTTTGCCAGAAGTTCCAGGTCCAGGCAGCCGCTTCCTTGACATCAACACCGGCAAAGAAGGGGTGAACGTTTGACATGACAATGTCGACCTTGGTGGCCATGTCGCCAGTCCAGTTGTCACCCAGATCAGCCATTGCGACAGGCAGCTGGCAGCTGTGGTCCGAGATGTTCTTGCGGAAGTCGGAAATGTGTCCCAGCAGCTCGGTCTCAGACAGGTCCTTGCGGTAAAGCACCTCGTTACCAATGATGATACCCTTGAAGTAGTCGCAGCCATAGTCATCGAGAATGTCCCATGTTTGGGAAATCTGACGCTCCGTTGTAGTGTCGTTCTTGTCGAGCCATACACCAAGCCAGATCTTCATGGTGTCCTTGATCTCCAGTTGGTTGATGGCGTGGATAAGCATCTGTGTTTGGTTGCAGTCGGTTCCGTACAAGCGGACTGAGTTGGTCAGTTGCGACATGACGGCCAAGTCTCGGGTGATGTTGTTCTGCGATGGTCCGACGTGGAGACAGTCTGGGTACTGTGTGTTCAGAGGAGTGTAGTCCATGCCGGGAAACACCTTATGCAAATCGGCGTTGTTCATCAAAGCCTTGATCTCGGAAGAGTCCTTGCCGAGGTCCTCCTTGTTGTCTTTGGCGATATCGTCAGCAGATTGAGCAGACTTAGCAGCGCCGTCCTTTGCACCGCCACCCTTTCCGACAGTAGCACCGAGGACACCGCCCAGAATTGCACCTGCGAGGATGAGGGTGATGATGGCAATGGCGATCCACATGCGCTTCTTCCTCTTCTTCAAATCGTCTTCTGCTTTCCAACTTGCAACCTTTTCTGGGACAAGCTCTCCACTTCCGTTGACCATGGGTACGGCGTCGTACTTGGTACCGTCGCGTGAGGCAGCAAAAGCACCAGCGCCCGCTGCGGCAGCAACGCCTCCGTTGTTTATCGATGACCCTGGCGAGCCATTGCGACTGCTGCCGTCCCGCGAGCCACCGAATGGCACGAAAGAGCGTCGCTTGTTTTGTGGAGAGTTGTGGTCTGGGCCCATTCCCCAGTCGTCATCGTTGTCGACATCGAGCGGGTTGATCTGGCCCATCTGCGGCGCGAGGTTCTGAGCGGACGAAGAGTAGCGGTTGTAGGGCGTGTCGGCGTAGGGGACGCCGCTGTGCGGGGAGTGTGGCATGCTATACATGGAGCTGTCACTCGAGTACATGCCGCCGACGAGTGGTGCGCCGGAACCGTAGGAGCGTTGCGAGTACATTGGGCGTGGAACCATGGGCTGGTCGTGACCATTGGGGTCATTGAAGGGTGATGACTGCGAGTTCCTGTTGGGGACGCCCATGGGCCGTCCTGGGCCAGCCATGCCTCGTGCAGCGTGCAGGCCGCTCTCGCGTGGGTGGGAGCCAGCGACGCCGCTGGCGATGCCGTTGATGCCGCCGCCCGGAGCCGTCTCGCCCATGTTGTCTGAGCCGGGGGTGACGCCTGGGGTCGAGTAGTCGGAGTAGTTATTGGGGTCGGTATACTGGCGCTGGGCGTGGAGGCCTACGGGAGTGCGATGGGCTGGCGGAGGCGGCGGATTGTCGTCGGACGGGAGGGCGTCGTGCTGCTGTCCTAATGGCCAGGCCTGGGGTTGCTGGAAAGCCATTGTGAGTGCTTGTTCGAGGTTTTGCTACACACCTCGCGTGCAGAGGCGAAAACAACCTGCGCGGGCAACGCTTGGTGGAGGTCGCGGACGGCGGCGCGCCGCTCTGCGGATCGAATGGAGGCGGACTATGGCTGGGCCTGGCTAGTGTTTGCGGCGCGGAACACGGTTGGCTGGGTGGTTTGTTCTTCACGGCGTGGGATCTCGCAGGGATCCGGGCAAAACGAGCGAAAAAGATAATGCTGAGGCAGCGTGTCGCAGAGGCGCAGGCGCGGTCGCAGTGGTGGAGAGAAGGTCGGAGTCGTGCAGTGGCCGAGATGATGCAGGTGTGTTAGGCGGGTAACACGGCGCTGGCACGACAGAGGCTGACGGCTGCGACTGCGCGATGCGCTAGCCCGCTAATTCACCCAGGAAACCACCACGGAACCCACTGTGACGTCTCCGCCAATGCACCAGCCCCAAACACACTCAACAGGTTTTGCGACAAGATAACGCCTATACCGACTGCCCGCCTTTTCCCCCCGACAATGGCCCTTCTGGCGCCTACGCCGGTCTCGTTCATATCACGATCTCCCTCGTGCCTGCCTCTTCCTGCGCTGTGTTCCCTCGCGCCTGCCTGTGCGCCCAATGCAGGCAAGAGCGATATGCCCTCAACCAGAACAAGCAGTTGCAGTGAGGCCTTGGCGCAGCCGCGGGAAGCCCCATCCACAACGGCAAGTGCTAGGGTGGAGCCAGAGGCAATTTCCCATATCAGTTGGACCTTTCACGTTTATTGCCGCGAAGCCTCTCTGGTATCCTCCCTTTAATCCCCTGCTCATCCTGCACGCCTTGCACCTCGTCTGCTGTCGTCTCCGCTGCCTGCAACTGCCATGGACGTCTTGTCCGCGTTCCTTCCATGTTCTATTCCTAGCTCCTCGTGTCAGCCGCTACCGCAAACGGCTCCACCGTGGAATCTGGAGCGACCTACTTTAACCCATTTAGTCTGCATTCAACGCCGCATAGCCTCAAAGTCGCCTTCGTCTTTGCAACTTTTTCACTCACTCCCACCTGCTCATTCGAGGTCGTTTCTCAGCCTGGGCATGCGCGACATCCAACGCCCTTGTAGCGATCTGACCGCCGTGGTGAAACACAAACACCAGATCAAGATCGCCATCGGTCCCCGGCTGATAAGACATGTTGTGCTCACCACTCGCTCCTACCCCGCGCCATTGAGCGAATCTAATCCCGCCGTGCATTCGGCGCCGCGTCAGCGTCAAGTCATCCTACCAGACTCTAGCAGCCTCGACTTCTCTGGCTCGACTGTCAACACGCGCAGCCACCCAGCCTCCCGTCTGCTGCATACCTCATGTACCACGTCACGTCTCTGCAGTCACAGTATTGGCCTGCATGCACCACGCCGCGCAATACATCTTAGCACGTTCTCATGTCTATGTTAACCAAATATCACCGACTGCAGCAAGCCAAGCTTCAATGGTAAGCCGGACCATGTTTCACATCGCCCACACAGGCAACTAGGGCGATTCACCCCGATAAATTTAACGTCTGTCCACGACTTTCCACGTTCAAAGTCTGAATTCGTTACTTGCGAAGGCCAATTTCCATCATCTGTTTGACCTGCATGTGCTAGAAGATCGCCATGCTTCCATTTCTCGGTCCATAGATCAGGGTAGTGTTCGCGCTCCTTCCTATTCTCATCAGTTCATCTGCGATTCCTGCATAGTCTTTTACAATCCGAACAAGCATGGTTGAGTGTGCTATGGTGTAAAGGGTTGGCCTGATGATCAATATCTACTTATGAACGCGTCTACGTAACGGTACGGACTTGGCGCAAATACTACCTCATACGTGAACAACTTGAGATAGCCAATACTCCTCAGGGTCGGAGCAAGGCAAACTACAGCCTCGGCGCAATCAACCTCCGATTGTATCTACACGGCGCGATATTATTGGAAGGCACCTGGGAGAATGGACGCCTCGTCGAGTCTAAGCCCAGAAGGTGTATCGCTTGGCGCATGATTTTCCTAATTCAGACATCTCCATTATCACAACGAGGACATCAGCCTTGATGATAGAATGGGAAGAGGAACATCGAGCAACGTTTGCGTATATATGTTTCTCCCCTTGCACCTCAGTCGAATTCTTCATGTCAATTTCCCAGCTATTCCATTTTCCAATATCTCCTGAAGCAATGCCACCCCATTCAACAATCCACACCACCATCGCCAGCCTGACCACCGGCCCCCCTCTCGTCATCGCTATCATAGGCGGAACCTCAGGCATCGGATCCTACATTGCCAAAGCCTTCGCCTCGGTTTACCACAACTCGAAATCCAAACTACGCGTCTATATTGTCGGCCGCAACGCCTCGCGCGCAGAAACTTTGCTTGCAGAAGTGCGCTCCACAAGCCCAAGTTCAGAATGGCGATTCATAAAGGCCCATGACTTGGCGCTGATGAGCGATGTCGACGCCATATGTGCGCAAATCAAGAAGTATGAAGAAGAAGACCCATTGAACGGGGGAGAACCGAGGATAGATATGCTATACATGACCCAAGCAGAGTCACCACTTGCACCATCGCCGCGTAAGTCTTTCCCATCTGCATTCGCTTCCAGCAAGAAGTGAGCCGAGAAAACCACCCTCCCCATCACCCCAACTAACCAACCTCACCAGCAACAAAAGAAGGCCTCGACACCCAAGTCTCCCTCCTATACTACTCCCGCATCCGCTTTATCCTCGCCCTTACACCCCTTCTTCTGCGCTCTCAAAATCCAAGCGGCGCCCACGTCATCTCCGTCTTTGCAGGCACGATCGAAGATCCCATCTCCCCGTCTGCCCTTCCAATCGGCCCACCAACGCCTGGAAAGCACGGCGTCACATCGGTCCGCACGCACGTCGCTTTCATGAAGACCTTCATGTTCGAGGCCCTAGCCGAAGAACACGCTGGCAAAATCGCTTTCATACACATTTATCCGGGGTTGGTTGACGGTCCAACGTTCCTTAGTAAAGTGAATCCACTGTGGTTTCGCGTGCTGTGGCGCATAGCTAAGGTGTTGATGGCATGGTACATGACGAGTCCAACGGTGTGTGGTGAGGTCATGGTGTTTCTGGGTATGGGCAGGTATCCCGCAAGGGACGTCGGTGTATGGGTCAAAGAGGGCGAGGGAGGGAAGACGGTGGCTGATGTGGCGTTTAGTAGTACACGGGAGAGGGGAGGAGGTGCATATACGGTGGGGCAGAGGGGTGATGAGAAAAAGCAAGTTAGTTATGCCAAGCTGAGGCAGAGTGACACGAGGGACAGGGTTTGGAAACATACCATGGGTATATTGGGGAGTGTTCCAGGTTTGAGTGAGTAAGTTGTGAGGAGGAAGGGGACTTGTATATGACGAAACGTCATCCATGCATTGTTTGGAAAAGAAACGTGGGGACATCAGACTGATAGATGAAGATCGTATTTTGTATCTTGCACCACCTCAAACAGGGAACAGGCGTGTTTATAACGACCAGATCTATGTAGGACTCCTCTAACGGAACACAGTTGCGCAGCTCAGAAAGTAACATTGCAGCCATCACTGCCAGAGGTGTTCGCAATTCCAGTCTTGCACCACGCCACCACCGAAAGCAGCGTGGAGACTAAACGAATCAGTCTGGCAATCGGCAAACTCGGCGGCGAGCCCAGCAAAGTCGTTGAGGTATTGCTCGGCAGTCTCTCCACGGATTCCTGGCCCATGAGTTGCTGGAAGCGGGTTGGGCGTTTGCTTCGAACTGACAGGCCATGTAGGCGTAACTTTTGGAGGTGGGCGTATTGAGGACGATTTCGTGCGCTTAGCTAGTGACTCAGCGTCGTCTCGTTCATGCTGATGACCGCTGGCGGTAAGCTTGGGTGGCAACAGCTGCTCCATGCAGGCAGCCATTGTTCTCCTAGTGGTAGAATGGAGCTCGTAAAGTCGTCCTGGGGATGATTCAGGGAGCTGTACGCATTTTAGCGCCAACGAAAGGAAGATGATATCTTTGAGATCATCTGCTTCGCCACGACCCAGTCTCGCGATGAGGTAGTTGATAGTCTGCTCTATCTTTGCGACGAGTACATGTTCGTTGTGTCCAGACATCTGTTGCTCTAGGTGTTGGCCATGCGAGCTGGCCTGGCGGAGATGCTTGATGCGTTGGCATACTGTGAGAGCAGACCACAGGATATCTTTTTTGCACAACCAGAAGTAAAGATCCTCCTGTGACGGTGACGTATCTTCAAGCGCTTGAGGGTAATAGAAGTTTGAATAAGAGAGTATGGCCACCGATGAATCGACACATTGTACCCAGGCCTCTGCGACTTCTTGCTATCAAGTTGTTAGCACAAACTTTACCCCAGAGGAAGACAGGAGACCTCTAATTCTTGGAAGAACGTTCGACGAATTCTGCGTTCAAGATTTCATCGTCTGCGTAATAGCTAAGAAAACACGTACTGATTATAGGTCAGCTAGACATCTTACAAAGTATCCGCGGGGGCTAATTTACCTTGATAATCCTGATAGTCGAAGAGGAGTGGTCTGTATAAGCACAATAGCGATCGTCGAAGGTAAAAGTCTAGGAGAATGCGATGCAGAAATCCACCTCGATCGCCGGTTGCTGGCTGGCTGTGTTGCAGGCTGAGGGTCAACGGTAGAGAGCAACAAGATCTTTGGATTTCACGCCCTATTTCAATCGCCTCGCCCACATCAGGGATTGAGCGTTGTACAAGCGAGGAAGCCCTGATTCGATGCGGAAGAGACATAGCAAGATATATCTGGTAGAGGCTGTCAGTCAGATCGCAAAGCGGGCGGGGAGGAGGTAGCTTCGATGAAGACTCGTCAAAGTCCTCGTCATAGAGATTTGCCGGTACCGGACAGTAAGATCCGAGCTCTGGGATTACCAAGGGCATACCCGTCATGATAGATACTTGTACTTCCGTTTCCAAAACAGACGCCCATAGCCGCTTTCGCATCTCCATCTGGTACGGCGAAAGATGCTT